CAGCTTCCCACATGGGGATGGGGTGTGGGGTTTGCTGCCAAGCCTCCCTGAGGCTCTCCTAATTGAAACCTCCTGCCCTCCTGGACAGGCAGGTCCTGAGGTGCTATGGCAGGGGGGCTGGGAACCCCTCTGGTAATGCCCCCAGCTCAGTAGCCTCTGCCCCCAGCCGTGCACCTACAGCCAGGAGATGGGGGAGCAAAAACAGGGCATTTGTGCATGCTCTGCATTTAAAATACTCACCATTACTCCCTGCTGGGTAGAAGTAGATGGGAGGGTATGTCCCTTCCATCCAACCACCTTCCTAGGTTTTGGTGTCAGCCTTGCACACCTCTTCTGCTGTGTCATGCTCATGTTCTCCAGGTTGCCAGGGAGACACACATCTTCAGTGCCTCTCCACCCCTCCCCAGGGCCGGGGAGGTAGTTCCCCCATTATATTGTGAAGACTGGGGCATGAGAAAAGACTATTCTTGTTCTACATAAGTAGCCTGGGAACTTAAACTTCTTGAACTTTCCAGTGCTGTGTCACTGCCTGGGCACACATCTGGCTACACACTAGAGCTCCGACAACCCTCTAATGACCCTGAGAGACTCACGTGTGCAGGCCACCCAACACCCTCCTGCCCAGCTGCTAGACCGCCTGACACCTGACAGCCACCCTGGGCCAATCCTAGGGCTGGGAACGCAGGACTGCATATTCTCAAGAACACACTTTTTAGTGTAAAAGCTCTTAACTTTTCCTTCTTCAGAACACGTCTGAGTTTTTGCCTGGGTTCCTAGTGTGCAAGCTCTAAGACTCTTGAATAAATCTATCCTTTATTTCTAGTCAAAGCCTCCAGGTTCCTCTGAGTTTGTTCAACAGTTCCTAATGATGACATCTTCCAAATAAAAGTAATTTCAAGACTCCTGACCCAGCAACTGTTGCATTCCTAGTACTGAAAATATGCAAGTCAGTCACTGCTGGTGATATGGAGAAACCACGGGGATAGAAGACAGGCCAGAACACTCTGGAGTCTGGGCCCCAGTTTTCAAGGGACGGGGGAAGGGGACAGAGGCTGCAAACGTGTCCACACTCCTGGAAAGATTCCACATGTCACTAAAGGGATGACACATGAACTCTGGAAGTTAGTAGCAGCTCCTTTAGGACCCAGCTTGAGGTCAAGAGCAAGTGAGACCAATACACGGGGTGGGCAACGGTAGGTTTACAGTTGTTCATATGGAAAATAATACAATAGTAAATAGAACAAGAATAAACTCACATACTAACCACTGCAACCTAATGTCCCACCTGGTAACTACTAGAAAAACCTAGTCTCTCCTCCTGTGTGTCTCCTTTACTACTCACACAGAATACTTCGCTCTGACACCAGCTCGCTGTCTTACAATTTAACTCAATTCTGACCCCATCTACTTGGAAACATCTACTGTCAGATCCCTCAGGGTAAGAGCTCAGACCCGTGAGACTCTGCTCCCCACCCCAACTTCAGCTGCCAATCCCAAGTAGTAGTTCCCCAGGTTATTCATAACTTTTGTACAACGTGAATACAAATCAAAGGTTCCCATGACCCCCACCCCATTGAATTTGATGACTTGTTAGAACAGCTCACAGAACTCAGGGCAACAGTTACACTTCCAGTGTATCAAAGGGTATAGTAAGGGATGCAGATGAACAGCCAGGTGAACAGACACAGGTTGAGGTCTGGGAACATCCTGACCACTGCAGATCCTTCCCGGTGGAGCTGGGTTGCGTCACCGTGAGGGAGCTGGGTTCCCTCACGTACGTTGATGTATTCACACAAACTTGGTAGATCTCCAAACCTCGTGCTATCAGGATTTTAATGGAGGTTTGATAATTGACCCCATTTTCTGCCCTTCTTTCTCAAGAGAATAGAGAAAGGAGAAAGGGGGGGAAGCTGAAAAATATTGGGTTGGCCAAAAAGCGTATTTGGTTTTTCTGGTAAGATGGCTCTAGTAGCACTTTGTTGTCTTCAACTTCATTTGAAACAATTTTGTTAGATTGTATTGTGATAGCTGTCATATCAATGTACCCTCAAAAAAACTCACCAAAACTGGTGAACATTTGTGTAGCAATGTTTTTGGTGTATTATACTCTATTATTTCAAGAAAGGTAAAAACACAACTGAAACACACAAAAAACAATTTGTACAGTGTATGGAGAAGGTGCTGTGTCTGATTGAATGTGTCAAAGTGGTTTGCGAAGTTCCATGCTGGTGATTTCTCACTGGATGATGCTCTATAGTCAGATAGACAAGTTGAAGTTGACAGCAATCAAATCGAGACATTGAGAACAATCAACATTCTACCATGACGGAGACAGCCAACATACTCCAAATACCCAAATCAATGAGGCTATTGGTGAAAATGAAAACTGTGTTTTTTATTTTACAGAAAAAAAACCTAAAAGGACTTTTTGGCCACCCCAATACAGCTTGTAAGCATGGCTGGGTCTTTCCGGTGACAGCCCTGACCCAGAAGCCATGCAAGAGCCCACCCCATCACCTAATCACAAGAAGACACTTCTACCACCCAGAAGCTACAAGGGTGTAAGGAGCATTGTGTCAGGAACAGCAGTTAAGACCAAGTATTAGAACAGATGATGCTCCTAGTGCTCTTATCACTTAAGAAATTCCAAGGGTTTTAAGAGCCTTGTGCCAGAAACAGGAAGAAGGGTGGGTGGGATAGGTGAAGACCAAATACGTATTTCTTCAAATTAATCACATCCCAGAAAATATGCCTGAAGAGTGAGGTCTAGGTTCCAGCTTTCAAAAGGGAGGGGGGTGGAACAAAACCCAAAACAGAGCCTGAAAATCCACTCCTAGTCCTGTCAAGATTCTAGAACATGCCATTAAATGGATGACATATGAACTCCAAAAACTAGCAGAAACTCGCTTTGGATTCAGCTTGAAGTCAAAGGCCAGTCAGCCCCATATATTTAGAAAAAATGCAACCAGGACGATTTCATAACTTGTAACTGCAACTTCTCAAGGAGAGCAAAGGTTTCTTCAGAGAAGACAGGTCTCAGGTGGCGTGCAATATCGGCCCTACTGGCCAGCCCCGACGGGAGCCTCGCGTCCTGCTTCTGGGTTTTCTGGGCAGGGATCCGTGGGCAACCCTGCCTGCGGCCGCGGGAATGGTACCCATGCTCCCCAGCGGCGGGGGAGATAGGCACTTGTTCTGAGCACTCTCACACTTCGCCTTCTCTTTTCACACGTGAGGAAGATCCTGCCACAGCGATTAGTGTAGCAAGAAAGTACGCGATGAACAAAAGAAAACGACCTTCCTCTGGTTCTTCTACAGAGGTCTCAACACACGATGGTAAACACAGGCCTTAATACTTTCTGAATTGTTTTCCGCCGGGAGGCCACCCTCGGGGGAGAAACAGCCGGCCAGGGTCTCCTCCAGCAGCCAGGTCAAACTCGCGGTTGCTAGATGATCTCAGGTCCGAGAGAAATGGACTAAGCTGCCCCGCCCCCACTTCCGCCCTCCTTGCCCCGCCCCTACCCCGCCCAAGTCCCGCAGGGTCGGACCGTCCTAGTATCAACGCACGCGACAGGCTGAAGCGTAGTGACGCACACGCCACGACGCTTCGGCGTGTCGCGGGAGGCTCGACGTGTTGCGCGCTCCCGCTCTCGTCCACACGCTACCCCGCCCCTTCTTGCGCGGCCTGAGCTGTCTCCCCAGCTCTGTTCTCCCCCAGACCCGGCCCTCCCACACCCGGTCTCCAGGCCTGTGGACAGTGACTGTAGAACAATATCAAGGCCTGCAAGACCCACGTCCCATGCTCCCGCGTTGGCGGTGGTGATGGGCTGGGCTTGCGGGGTAGAAGAATAAGGCGGGATGAGGGGAGGTGGCAGTTCCGCGGGCTCACTTCCGGGGGACGGGCGGAAGTGGCTGAGGTGGATGGGGGTGGGCTGGAGAGCGAGGGGAGGGCCGGGCCGCCGGGGGTCGAGGGGGTGGGGCCTGGGCCGGCCGTGGGGACCCGGTGTGGGGCCTTGACTACGATCCTGGGCGGGCCGCGGCACCCTGCTGAGCTGGGGCGGGCGGGATCCAGGTAACGACTCTTCGCAGATAGGGCGAGGGTCGTCTGGGCGGTAGAGAGGTGGGGGGTCAGAGTCTAGGGAGGGTAGCTGTCACCCCCTTCCCGGTGAACCCAGAGCGCGACGATTCCAAGAGGTGGGAGGAGCTAAGTTTTTGGCGGGGGTGGGGGGGCTGTGGATGCCACGCCCCTACAGGAAGGAACTGAGGGCGGGGGGAGAAAGGAGAGAGTGTGAGTGTGTGTGTGTGTGTGTGTGTGTGTTTACGAATAAACTTAGAAGGGAGGGGCGACGTGGTAACGTCCCAGACTGGGGAAGTGGAACACTGTGGTTACTGCAGGCTGAACTGGGGCCTCAAACATTCCAGGAGAGCGCTCTAGGGAGTGGCCCAGGGGAGGAGTTTGGCAGTGATTAGGAATTACATCCCTGCCACGGTTTTGGAAGCGCTGGGAGAGGGCTGGGAGATGAGGGTTAAGAGAAGATAGCAAAGAATGCATGCAGAAGGTGCCAACATCTAGGTCTGGAGTGGATTTGGTTCAGTCGGGAAAGCTAGCAGATTAGAACACTGGACACTTTAAGAAGCTTGGGAGATGTAGAGCAGTTAGTGTGTGGCACCTAACAGAACGAGAGGACAGGATGGGGATGTTCTTTTTCACGTTTCTTAGAAGACAGTCTCCATACACCGTCAGTGCCTGTGGTTACTGTTCTGTCATGAGAGGAGGTGCAGTCCTTTATCCTGAGTCGTGTGTGTGTACACATATTGATGAGGTGACTGTTGTGGGGTGATGTGTGAGTGAAGTAGGTACTTGGTGTATCTTGTGGAGTGTGTAAGGAAAGAGTTTGCATGGTAGATCATCCTAAAGGGATCTTGTTCAGGTAAGGAGTTTTAGGAGTCCATTTGGGAATATAACAGATTAGAAACTGTCATAATGTTTAAATATTCTGCAGGTTAACACAGAACTCAGCCTCTGGGGCCATGCCGGTTCTAAGGCCTGCTGCTTCTCCTGAGCCCCAGCAGAAGACAGAAAGGCTGGTCCTCAGAGTGGATGACTTCCCCTCCCTGATCAAGAGGTGGGGCAGTGCTTGGGATCTGCCCATCACCAGACTCTGGGCTTAATAAGCCAGCTGGATGAAGGCATATAACAGACCCCTGGGAGGGACACGGAAGCCAGCAGTGGGGGGGGAGGGGCCTGGACATACCCCTTCCCCCCCAGACTCCTCCCTCTCAAAGTACGCTGAGCCATGGACTTTGGACTGGCATAAGGAGAGAAGCTGCACTTTGTCTCTGGTTTGGGATTCTCAGTTTTGGAAATGGAGTGCTGGATGGGGGTTTGATGCTCTCCAGGGGAGCAGCTGAGAGAAGAGAAGAAAGGTAAGGTTCCTGCTTCATTTCCCACTTGGTGTCTGGCTGCTCCTGTGTGGGAAGTGTTGAATGGGGTGAGTCGGGGATGCTACTGTGCAACAAGTACCCAGATGAGAACCCTTACCCTGTTGGGTGCTTGAGGACACTTGGCCTCTCCTTCACTCTGAGTGCAGACTTTTCCCCAGTTGCTCCTTACCCAGGAAGGAGTACCTTGTAAGGTTGTGAGTAATGGCAATTATGAGGTTGGGCCGAGGGCACAGAAAAGGAATTCAGCCCTCTGAGGGAAGGTTGGATTAGATTACCTGGAAGGGCCTTTCCAGCACTGAGATAATAGGATTTCGAGTCAGTTGGGGCCAAACTAAGACTCTGGAATGGACCACCCAGGCAGAGGCAGGCTGTTCTGTTTCGGGAGCTAAGTTAACTGCCTTGAGGGGGTGGGTAGGAGGTGATCTGGATATCCTTCTAAGTTTCCTCCCCTCCTTCTCCTAAAAGGGAGTTTAGGCTGAGAAACCTCGTGGAAAGAGCAGAGGGACTGAGCAGGATGGGGCATCAGCAGGACTTGGGTTGTGGCCCTCCCTTTCTGTTCATACAGCCCTAGCTGTGTTTGTCTCCGCGGGGTTCTCTTCGCCTGCAGCGAGGGAGTAACTGGCTTTCCAGGCCCCTCACAGGTTGTTACGAGGAGCAAAGGAAGTGATAGGTTTTGAAAAGTGTCCAGGGCCGTGTATGTCTAACGCAGTAGCATCGACATCGCTTGATACACTTGTGTAATCGTTCCACAGAGGAGAGCTCTGTCTTATTGAATCGGCGTGCTGGCAAAGCCTTAGATGGCCTTAATTAAAAGCCTACCTGAATCTGTCTCATCTTGTTGTTATTAAACAATGCCTGGGATCATCATGTTGTGGAGAGGTGTACGGGTCCAAGAACCTTGAGGGATTCTGGCTCTCAGGACTCTCCGTGACCAGCGAGTCTCTTCAAGAAGGGGTTGGAAAGTCCAAGTACCAAGGCCTCTTAGGGCCAAGCATCCAGTTAGGACATGGAGCTCCGTTTCTTGGGCTGAGCACTGGGCCTTTCCTTCTTGTGCCATGTCCCAGTCTTCTCCCCTGCTCTTTAAGGTGACAGTTTTTTCTGACTGCCATCTCTTAGCCCTTTGTAGTTTCCAGGCTCGCCCCCCAATTAAAGGGGACCTGTTCAGAGTCACCTTCTCGCCTCTGCCTGTTCCTTCCTGGAACTCCAGTTTGCCCAGGCCAAGATGCCTGCAGTCCTCAGTAACGGTAAGGAGAAGGTGTTGGGAGACCGGAGAGGGGCTGGAGCGTTGACAGTATGGAGTGGTGGCCTGGGTGAGGGGCAGGAAACTTAGCTTCTGGCATCTCTTTGTCTCCCAGTAGCTGTGTAAACATCTGGGCCTCACATTCAGTGAGGGGATGGCAACAATAACTAAGGTCATTTGCAAGCTGAAAGTCCTATATTTATGATTTAGTCTCTTTTTCCCCTTCCTTCCTTGCCATCGGAGTCCCTGACTTCCCTGCTGGTCTGAGGGTTGAGCAGGCAGGCTTGGGGTGTTCCTTCCAGGGTCTGATGCAGGGGAGCCCCTTGGAGGCCAGTCTTCTGCTTTAGAAGGTCCAGATTTCAGGGAGGGCATGTCGCTTCTTCCAGCTTTGCCCAGCCAGCTCCTGGTGTCAGTCCGTGCTGAGGCACCGGGACAAGTAGTCCCTCGGGCAGGCGTAGGCCTCGTCCTGCCTGGGGGGACAGGGGCACCTGGAAGCAAGTGAGGCAGCATGGAGCTGCGCTATACCTGTGTGGTGCTTCCAATGTGCACAGTGCCCAGGCTGTGGTGTTGCGGCAGTGCCTGTCCCCACGTTGTCATGTGGAGGAGAGGGAGGGGTTGTTTTCTCAGGTGGGTGTCTAAGGGGAGCTATGGAAACCCTAGCAGGAAGGGAGTGGCAGGCCCAGGATTGCCAGCCGACGCTGTGGTGCTTCTGCAGTGCCCAGCCTGCTAAGGGCCGTGGGGACCCTGCTGCAAACCCCCAGGGAGGGCCACTTGGCCCCTGTCATTTCCACCAAAAGCACTAGTCCTGCCCTCTCCCTGACCCTTCCGCAAGACAGTCCTCTCGATACAGCCATTGGCCTCCCTGCACCGGCACCTTCTCCAGGGCATCAGGATGCGCAGGCCACTTAGCCAGGACCTGTGGTGGATTCCACCAAGTGGGGTGTGTTTTGACTGAACTTACACCCTTCTTTTTTCCAAAAGGTGTAATGAAAAGTCGCACTTCACACACACTTCTCCACAATGGTTGTGCTAATCTTGTCTCCTTTCTTGGATCTCCATGAGTTGAGTTTCTGGGTCTCCGTGGGGCATGGGTATGTTGGAAGGAGGGAAGAAGGGAAAGTAGAAACAACACTGATTTAAAACATCCCTTTTACCTCTTACGGTTTCAAGCCGAGATCTGTCTTAAGTTCAGAGCACTAATTCTTTTCAAATTGTAAAAAAATTCAGGTTATCTTGGGCCTGGTTCATGGAGGGCAGTCTCCTGGAACAGTTTTCTCCTCCTCCTCCTCCTCCTCCCTCTCCGGTCACCTTGTGGAGGGGGTGGAGGTGGGCAGTGTACGGTGCTGCTCCTCTGTTCTCTCTCATCCTGTACCCAGGTCTTCCTGTTTCCTCCATTTTCACATAGTCGAATCTGAGTTTCATCCCCTCCTGGTTGTCTTCTGCCCTTCCCCCATAATCCCTCCCCATGAAACTTCTTGTCTGGAGCTCAGGGCCTCTTCCCAGCTCAGGTGCAGTTTGGCAGCAAATATTTTCTTGCTTCCATCCAAGAATGTAGCCCATCCTAATTCTCTAAAAGCCCTTTCTGCTTGGGACAGTCCTCCTGAAGTTGGTAAATTTGAATGCAGGGCTTCCTGAGAGCCCTGGTATTTGAACAGCGGAAAGTGGCCATGAGAGGTCAGGAGGTGCAGACAGCCCTCCGCCTGGTTCCACTGAACTGCCCTAGGTAGGTTATTGGTGGAGGCGGGGATCTGAAGTCTCACGGGCGGTGGGTCTCCCGGCCTTTCAGCACCCCACTGTGTCCCTTGTCCGGGAGAGTGGTTTTTGCTCCTGATACCTTGGATCTATAAACCACTGTTTCCCAACTTTTTACAATTTTAGGACACTTGATTGTTTTCCTTCTTGCCTTGGCATGGAGTGTGAGTGTGTAGGCCTCCCATGTCCCCTACATAAGGAAAAGCTTAAGAGAGGGCAGAGGTGCAGACACTGGCCACTGGCTGGCCCCTAAGCCAGGGCCCACGTCTCTGGCCAAAGTCCACACAACTAAGCTGGAGACCTCACACACACACACACACACACACACGAAGTGCAGCCTCACTGATGTGTCAACTCTCTCGCTGCTCTGTCAGGGCTGAGCTCCGACGGCTTCTACCAAGATTTCCCAGGTGCCCACTCTGCGCCTGTCAGGCTGGGCACAGACATCTGAGGGTGCGTGAGGACCTCGGCTTTGGAGGCAGGGGTGCCTAGGCCTAAAACCCCTCAGGTGCCCCAGTAGATCTCGAGACCTTCGGCAATTGGCACTTACCCTGAGCCTCAAGTCCCTCGTCTGTAGAACAGGATGGCAATGCCCACTCTGCAGAGCTGCTAGGAGGGTTAAAGGAGAGGGGCTGAGGGAGGGGTCTGGCATGTGGAGGCCTCCGTGTAATTTTGTTTGAGCACCTCGGCAACCTTTGGGACCTTTTGTTTCTCTAGAATCCTGCGCACTTCCGGTTTCGTGTGGAAACACGCTAGCCAGCCGTCTTGAGTAACCTCGCGCCGAAAAGTTTAGGCCTGCTGCTCCATACTGCCGCCCCCGCCCGGGAAGGAGGCGGGCCGGGGAGGGCTTGGTGCCTGCGGAGCGTGTCCTTATCACATGTTAGGTCCGGCCTTGCACTCAGTCCTTCACGGGAGCGTCCTCTACAGAGTAGCGCGTGCCCAGCGCCCCGCCCCCCTTTCAGCTGTAGATACGCACGTCTAGGCTTTGCTGGAGTCTGCCCCCCCCCCCCCCCCCCCCCCGGCACGGGCTACCGCGAAATCCTGTGATCTGGCCCTTTCCTCTTGGGTCTGGTGGTTCTACCCTGGGGACTTGTCTGTCTCGGCTTTCACGGAGGACTAACAGCTCTCATTCCCCACCCCCCACCCCCAAAATGAAAGAGACCACAGCTGGCCCTCTCCTGCTTTTGGCAGCAGGTGTTTCCCCCGCTGGCTTCCTTTCTGGCGCCCTGGTTCCTGTTCTAACGTCCCTGCACCAGGGCCCCTCTGTTGGGCCTGACTCCTCCCCGCCGGAAGCTAGTATTTGGGGGTAGGGGGGTCAGGAGAACTGGCCCCCAGACCCTTGGTCTGGAGTTTGGCGGGCGCACTCCCCAGGGCCGCCCGGCGTCCCGGCCGGGCTCTCCTCCCCGACTCCGCGAGGTTCTGGGCTCCGGAGCGGGGGAGGGGGAGAGGCGGGGGAGGTCCGGGTTGGCGGGCTTGAGGGCTGGGGTCCGACAGCGACCGGAGCGGTTGCAGCTGAGGGCGGAAAGAGGCTTCCTCCGCTTCGCCTCCCGAAGTTGGGGGCCGGGGGGGGGGGGGAACGGGCTGTCGGGGCGAGAGGGCGGGCCCGGGGAGGAGCGGCGGGGGGCGGCCCGCCCCGCCTCCCTGGGGAAGGGCCACGTTGCCCGCCCGGCCCAGGCGTGCCGCGGGGAGGGCCGGCCAGGCGGAAGGCGCCGGCGGCCGCGCGAGCTCCAGGGACGAGCCTGGCGCACCAGGCTTGCTCCCCTCGCCCTGAGGCGGGCCAAGTTCAGAGCCGAGAAGTTGGGGAGACCTGGTGAGTAGGGGCCCAGGGAAGCCGGCGTTCGGCATCTCGGGGCTTGTCCCCGGGAGGGGATGAGGTCCGAGTAAGAGAGGCCCCGCGGGAGTGGTGAGGGCACTGCCCCCTCCGCTCCCCTCGTGTCCCCCGACAGCCCCGTGCCCGCGAGACCCGCCGGAGAGGCCCGGCTGGAGCCGC